TGCAGAGACTCCTCTTTGTTCAATAAACTGCCTCAGCACCTTGTCACAATCATAGTTGTGTGGCTTTACTTCTGGATTCTCAAGTCCCTTCCATTAGTCAATATGTATATTGTCACATTGGTACAAGACTGTTTTGATTATTGTAGCTGTATAGAATGTTTTAAAATCAGGAAGCGTGTGTCCCACTACTTTAAGATTCTTTTAATATTGCTTTAGCTATTCAGAGCCTTTTGCCATTCCGTATGTAGTTGAAGATTGCTTTCTCTATTTCTGTAAAGATGACTGTTGAACTTTTGATTGCCCTGAATCCCAAATGATTGCTTGGTATTGACATCTTAATAATGTATATAGATCAATCTATGAATGTAGAATAGCTTTCCATTTATTTAACATTTAATATCTTTCAGCAGCCTCTCATAATTTCACTACATAAACCTTTCACGTCTTTGGTTAGGTTTTTACCTAAGTATTTTCTTCTATTAGATTCCATTGTAAATGGAATTGTTTCCTTAATTTCCTTTTTAGTTTTCTCCTAGGAGAGTTTTGTTTGTTGGTTTTCCTATACATTTTCTACAAGGCTTTTGAGCTCACCTCATATTTACGATGGTTAAATCTCAATTAACCCTTTACTACTATATAATGTGCATTTTTATCCCTTTTGAAGAATTTGTTTCAAAGATTACATTATTTGATGATAATATTGCTATTCCAGCTATCTTTTGATTTTATGTACATGTAATATTTTGTTTATGTCTTTCCTTAATTCTTTAGTTATGCCCATTCTTGCTTTACATTTATCATTTTGTTCATTTCTCCCCATGATTTGGTCATTTCTAGATGCTCTTTCACTCCCCTTGGGATTTGCCCCTGACCTGTCATTGCCTCCCTGTTCTTTGTGTGTCGTGTGATTCTTTTTGTTGATATTGTTTGTCATGAAGATTTCTCAGGGTTTTATCAGTTTTCCCCAGTATTTGGGGGTTCCACCAGCATTGCTTTCTGCAAGAAACTCCTAGGCGGGACTTTGTTTCCTCTTCCCTCTCCCTCCCGCTAGGTTGTAGCTCCTGCTCCACCTTGGTTTACCTGAGATTCAAAAGTTCCAGATCTCATTTTTCAACTTTCAGTCTCTCTCAAACACACAGGAGAACCTGCTGTGGCCAGTCTGACCACCTCCATTCAGGAAAGATATTATGTACTAACTAATCTTTCCACCAGGGATACAATCGCCTCTCTATGGTTATATAGCTCTTTCATCTTCTGTTTCTGAAATATTTTTTTCAGTCAGAAAACCCAAGCTCAAAGGCCACTTTCCAGGTGCTGCCCTCTGGTTTTGTCCGAGGTTTCTTTCCCTGTTCTGTGGGGCTACTTCTATCTGGACTGGCATCGCAAGGAGGCACGGGCAGACTTTCTTCGCTTCCCGGAGGGTGAGCTAGCGTTCTCTAGAAGCGATCTCTTCCAAGATATCTGTCTTGTTGGGTCAGAGCCTCACTGCCTCTGTGGTGTCTGAAACAGCAATCTCTACATAGATGACCCACCTCCTGACTTTGCTTCAAAAAACTGCCTGTAAGAGAAAAGTGGGTGAAGGGAGATGTCGGACAGGGTAAGATATGACAAAATAATAATTTATGAATTATGAAGGGTTCATGAGGGAGGGGGGAGTGGGAAGGGAGGGGGAAAGTGAGGAGCTGATATTAAGGTCTCAAGTAGAAAGCAAATGTTTTAAGAATGATGATGGCAACAAATGTACAAATGTGCTTGACAAAATGGTTGTATGTATGGATTGTGATAAGAATTGTATGAGCCCCCAATAAAATGATTTTTAAAAAAAGAGTTGTCTAAGCCCTCAATAAAATGATTAAAAAAGAAAAAGAAAGGGGGAACTAATCACAATGATCTACATATAACCCCCTCCATGGGGGATGGACAACAGAAAAGTGGGTGAAGGGAGACGTCAGACATTGTAAGACATGACAAAATAATAATAATTTATAAATTATCAAGGCTTCATGCAGGGGCAGGGAGGGAAGGAAAAAAATGATGAGCTGATACCAACGGCTCAAGTAGAAAGCAAATGGTTTGAGAACAATGATGGTAACAAATGTACAAACATGCTTGACACAATAGATGTATGCATGGATTGTGATAAGAGCTGTATGAGCCCCCAAAAAATGATTCAAAAAATTTTTTTAATTAAAAAAAAAAAAGAATCAGTATCAGTTCGGCAGCTGATGAATACCAGGTGAAAGAGGTCATCACACTCTAAACAGACCCCCAGGGAGACTGCCTTGTTGCTGTGAGGGCCCACCACATCCTACGTTGGCTGTGGTGTGAGCTTCACTTAAGATGCCTGCTCCTTAGCACAAAATAGCCTCCTTCAACAGTGCTCAGTGCTGACTGTAAGGAGGAACAGACAGACAAAATGTATCTCTCTTCTGTCTTCCTGGTGTCAGAGTTCTGATCTACAGGATGCACAAAGAAGCAGGCAGAGTGATAATTATCAGGGAAGGTTGCACTGTTGAGATCTTCCTTTGCATTTTGCAGCAACCTGGAGACCAATAATTGCCAAGTTGGGGAGAGTACATCACAATCTGGGCAGATCCCCATGGAGGTCTGCCTCCTTGATATCAGAGTCCCCCGGGTGGATCATTGCAACCTCCATCCAAGACTCCTCCTTCCTAACACGCAGTAGCTTCAGTCAGCACTTATCAGTGCAAACTGGAAGTGAGGACAAACTGCCCCTATGCAGAGTGGTTTGTCCTGGTGCTTTCAGAGGCTAGAGTCTGGAATAAACAGGGAGACAGAGTGCTGACTGTAGGAGAAGACTGCACTGCTGGGCCCCTCAGTAACAATTCACAACAGGGCTACAGGTGATAGTGTGGAGGTGAGGGAGAGGTTGTCGTGTTCCAAACACACATGCTGGGAGGTCTGCCTTGTTGCTCTCAGAGCCTTTTCTAGCGTATGCTAGCTGCAGGTGCCCCATCAGCTAACAATGCCTACTTCTTAGCACACAGTAGATTGTCAGCAGTCCTTGGCACTATCTAAAATAGGCAACAGACAGACCTGAATCGACTCTTTGAGGTCTCTTCTGTTGATCTCAGAGGTCTGTGCTATGGTGTGTGCAGGAGCGGAGTCGAGTGATGAGAGCGCACTTCGCCGCATGGCCTCCTGTGGCAATTATCCGTAGGCTTGCAATAAACAGTGCCTGCTTAGCAGATGAGCTGCCGTGCTCCAAATGGACTTCTAAGGAGGTTTACCAAGTTTGTTTTCAGGCAGAAGCGTGGGGATCTGCAGGAACTGTGGTCACTAGACATCACGGTTGGGGAAGTACTGTGAAGCTGTTTTTTTAGAGTCAGTATCCCAGCTCACAACAGCCAGTGGTCTATGTGGCTGGGGGGAGGGGAGGGGGGGCAGATATTCAGAGGTGGTGGGAGAATCAATTTTCCTATGTTACTCATTGCTGATTCTTGCCTGTCCCAAGTTCCCTACTTCTTTCCTCGGCTCCCTTACTCAGACTCCCTTCAAGTCAGCACTGTGTTTGTGTATTTGTGAGGGAAAGTTAGAGCAATGATCTTTTTTATGCTGTTTTTTCCTAGAAATCTGACCTTATCTTTTGTTTATAGTTCCCCCTGCCTTTTTCCCCCTCTAAGTGTTTTTTATTTATTCCTTTTAGAAGTCAGCAGTTTTGGTTCTCCACTTGACCTCCCAATAGTGTTGCAGGAGATGTGATTGAAGAACCAGGGAAGGTTATTTTGGGCCAGACTCTAGATTCATCCTGCTAAGGGTTAAGTCAGCCTGGAAATTAGTGATTAGTTGAAGAAAGCCTGCTAGGCGCCTCCAGATAGCTCCTTTCAGGGAACTGATTTTAATTCTTGTTTCTTTTTTTTATTTTTGTTTCTTCTGTTTTCTTTCTTTTTAAAAAATGAAACTTTCATAACCCTGGACTTGTACCACTTTTTGAGTTATTAGCTCCATTGTTCAGGGAGTACAGTCAGGCTCCCACATGTTTTAACTTCACCTCAATCACTGCCATTGAGAACATTATGACAATTAGTGGCACGATGGTACAGAGTAGAACAGCCTTTTGGGGTTTCTGAGGCTGTGAATCTTTGTAGAAATAGAAAGCCTCACCTTTGTCCCACAGAGGAGTTGGCAGGTCCAAGCTGCTGTGTTCGAATTGCTGATCTTGTGGCTAGCAGCCCAGTGTGTAGCCCATTACCCCGCCAGGGTTCCTTCGCATTTGAAGTAGGAATATTGAAAGCCAGTCATGGGTTAGCTTTTTAGTAGTTTCTTCTGCCTCAATGAAGGCAGCATAAATTAAATATCTGTACAATGTAGAGTTTGGTAAATCTATTATACTCTGAGTAGTCACTCAAAATCTATTATTATGATTTTTTTACTGTCAAATAATCATCTTAAAACATATTTGTAGTTGTTTCTCTGATGTCCAAATCACTTGTAATCTTTGAAGAAAACCTGAACTATGCAGAAAAGCACAGAGATAACTATACAAAGAGCCCAGAATCCCATCACTCAGCACACACATCACTATTTTGACATCACCTTTTATTAAATTTTCCCCTTTTCTTCCAGGAACAGAAACTTTCCTTCTCTCTAGTGGCTCCCAGAAAAGTGCTGAGAGAACTTCTGAAAACCCCGCCTCCCTCACATCCAAAGGTATGCTGGCGCTTGCTCTTTCTTTTACTCTCCTCACCCGAGGATCGAGGAGAAGGAGAGCTTGAATAAAAGTGTTATTGAATCATGGACACAAGAAATCCAACTGGGAAAAGTTGGCATCAGGATAGCATTTTTTTTCTGGATCATTTAATTATTGTTTTCCCAACACTTTTATTGGCACGGAATTTACATATCATACAAATCAATAATTCGATCATTTCAAGAAGAATTGTACAATCATTACCACATTAAGGTTGGGCTCCCCCTCCGCCCCGTGGTTCAATCGCCTTAAATGAGTCATGCAATTTGGATCATTTCATTCTTCATGGTTCTCTTACCTCGGACTCAGTCAGCCACTGTGGACCCAGTGCCCTCTGTTGGCTCTGACGGTAGAGAGACCCAGACAGACAGACAAAGAGAAAGAGAGAGAAAAAAGATGCTGATTCTTGATGGATATTGTTCTCCAGGATATTGCATCTCTAGAATATTTTCCTTCACACTGTAGGCAAGGTGGTGGTTAGCTGTCCATGTTAGCGCCAAGCACACCAGTAGATATCGCTAAGCCCCCTGAGGGCTATACTCACTTGACTCATTGGCTTTTTATAGTGGAGAGAGAATTATTTCATTCATTTATCTATTCATCCATCCATCACACATACCTTTAGGAATTTACTAGGCTCCGGGGGCAGAGAAGACCAGAAAATTAAGTCACAATCAATACCTTGGGGGATTCTGGATAGGACTTTGTGAACTTGACTCCCAGTTCCACCATTTGATTACTGTGGCTCTCTAGGCTATTTCCACCCCAGGTGTGTTGTCAGGTAATACAACATTGATGTACATTATAGACTTAGATGAACATCTGGCATATTCCTAAGCATGCAAATATAACAAAGCACCCGAAGAAGCGTATAATCTACTAGAGAAAAGCAGACCTACAGAGGGGAAAGATCCACGCGTGCCATGGCATGATGAGTAAGAGGGTGGGGGGCGGAGTGGTTCCTGTGTATGTTCTAGCTTCACCTTGCTGGGACACAAATTGAATGTCTTGTCTGCTGTGTGACTTTGGGAAATCTACTTAATCCTTCTGGTCTTCAGTTTCCTCATTTGTAAAATGGG